GAGCAGGGAGAGCAGCAAGCCAGAGCAAAGCCCAAGGCCTCAGTGACAGCATGAATAAATCATGCAAAGGCCTAGTTACCTACTCTTTGACAATGAAGCTCCTCGGGAAAATTGTTTGAGTTTTTTATTATTGAAAGTGAACAGAGGCTGCCTTAGAAGAAAGGATAAAATATGTATTTGCATATAGATATATTGTAACAGGTATCAATTTGGATAGATTTGCTATAGATTTTATGCATCCATTGTAAAAACTTAGGCACACTCTGTACAGATGACCAAATACTGACAGAGAAGCTTTACTAGGGAGTTCTACAATTATGATAAGTAGATACTCTACTAATAAGCAATACATGGTATAAAAGTACAGAAATAAGAAGGAAAATAGACATGAAATAAATCTATCGCTTGGCATCTTTATTAAAACAAGGCTGTGAGCCTACCGGACTCTAGTAACAAGAAGCCTAAACCATAGGAAGTACAGGTAAAGGATAAATTCTAGCTTAACAGTGACCATCTGCCACTTTTGCAGCCTCAGAACTGGACTCAGACACATATTCCAAAGGTACAGATCAATGGCAGAGGGGGAAGAACTGACTGTCCATATGCAAAATGGAAAGTTAAAGTGAACCCTCCAAACTTAGATAAAAATAATTGTTTAAAATAGTTTGTGAAGGGCTGGCCAAATAGCTCATAGCTCAGCAGATTAAAGGGCCTGCAAGCAGGTGCAAGGGCCAAGGGTTTAATCCCCGAGCCTGCCATGCAGGCCCTGCCCCCGGGGCATGCTGAGACAACAAATGAGACTAGATGTGGTGTGGCGTGCACCTGTAATCCCAGCACTTGGGAGGCTGTAAACAGGAGAATCACTATGAGTCTAATGTAGTAGTGAGACTCTGAACACCCTGTAGATCCTTTCCTAAAATACAAAAGGTAAAAAAAAAACAGTTTGTGAAGATCCATAGATCCTTAGGCTGAACCTGGAGGTGCTGACCTCTTTTCTATGGTCATTAGTTATCTTGAATCTTAGGCAATTTACAAAGAAAGAAAGGGATTTTGTTCCTTTTAAAACTTAGAAAAGCCCTGGGATTTTCTCTTTCATGCGTTGCCAATCATCAAACCAAAGTGGGTAAGTTGAAAATTCTAATTGCTCAGTTAATTTACATTATTTAGTGTCAACTTTGCACTAGGCTCAGGGGAAAAAAAAAAAAGATGAAGAGACAAACATGAACGTCCTTACCACAGAGCTCCTGCCTGTCACCTGTGCTGAGCCCCACCAGTGGGGTCTGTCTGTGGGGAAGGGACAGGACACCCAAGTTGACATTCCTGTGGGCCAGCTCTAGCCTACATCCTCCATCCAGATGTGTCTCACTGGTGTGGAGCACAGATGCCATCTTCCTGTGTAAGAAATGTCACACGAGGGTTTCGGCTCCCAGGCCAGTCCTTCAAGCTCGCCCATGTTCAGCTCTAGTGCGATCTCAGGAAGTTTCCAGTTTGTATTCGCCCAAGCTCACTCAATTTGCTGCGTTCAACTGTACTTCATAATATCAAGGTGTCTGCCACCATCTGAAGCAGCCAACTTTCAAGATAAATTATACAATGGTAGGGCCATGATTTCTGTGTGATTTGTTCCTCAAAAAGGTCGAATGAGTATTGGAAAATTGGTTCCAGTGTGCTGGTGTTAGGAGGCCGCAGGATCCTTTAAGAGGTGGAGCCTCATGTCACTGGGGATGGTGGGCATGATAATCTGTGAGAGAGGTCAGTCCTGAAGAGGAAGATTGCCCTGCCCTGTTCTCTGACTTCCTTCCTTACCTAAAGATGTGGCAAGGCAGAAGGACCCTCACCAGAGCTGGCACCGTGCTCTGTGGACTCCAATGTTCACAACTGTGAGTTCAATTCACCCGTTTTTAAGTTTTTGGTTTTTTGTGTGTGTGCAAAGTGATCCTCCTGATTCCTGCCTCCCCAGTGCTGGGATTACAGGCATGCAGAGCCATGCCTGGACTACATCCCCACTCAGAGAGCACGGGGATGGGGCCAACGTGGCATGCGGTGCCAGGAATCGAACTCTAGGCCCTGCGCTTACCTAAGCAAGCACTTAGTCCACTGAGCTATACTGCCGGCCCTTCATCCGTTTTTGGTTTTGTTTTTAAATAACAAAGCACCAAAGCTTTAGATATTTCCATAGAGTAACAAAAAGGAGACTAGTACAGGCAGGGCTGGGTGAAATCCTCTATGAGCCCTGTGGATGAGTGGGCAGCCACCTGCTATCCGGAATCTGTTTCAGGAATAAGGGAACAACGACAGGGCCAGAGCCTCTCTGAAGATGCCAGAGGCTGGAGTTCTCTTCAACAGCTCATCAGCACGTCAGCCGCGGGCCTCCTGCACATCAGCCCCTTACAAATCTCCACACAGCTTATCCCGTTGTTATTCCAAAATCCTGACTGACATATTGCCTGGTTATTTCAGGCAGTACAATTGTGTTTGTACATATTCTTCCCTTTTTTAGACATATGTTTGCAAGCAGTCATCTTTGCTTTAATAGCATTTTGAGTACATTAACTTGCATTAATTTTTAAACACCCCTTTTTATGCAGTTTCATTTGCACTCCGTGCATAAGCCACATCTTAATTTTTTGATCCCTAAAGGTTATCAGCTCAGCATCTGACTTGTGAAACAATAACCTCAGATCAGGCCAAAAGTGCTTGTATCATGCCACACATCCATGTGCAGCTACCACAGACAAATAAGCTATTCTAAACGAGCACAGGAGACTCTGAGACAAAATTTCTAAAAATAGTTTTATTTATGTTTAAGAATAGGCACAAAGATATGCAAAAAGCAGGCACGGCCTGAAGAAAACCATTGACTGACGCTGTGTGCCGAGGGTAAGCAGCTCTTTCTCCCAGTGCACTGAGAATGCCCTCAAGTTATGTTCAGAGGATGTGGGTGCTTCAGAGTTCATCACCCCAAATCATTTAAGTGAGTTGCTGTTTTCAGAGTTGGTACTGGGGTCTCAGTGTGAAATACAGTCTGTTCTCTAATTGAGACTGTCCCCTTCTGCTTCATGACTGCACTGCAGCGAGGAGCACACTGGCCTCTAGAGATGAGTCTTCTCCAGTGGTGCTCCTGGGCTGGCATGGGGAGAGGCTCCTAAATTCTGCTTGGTGGGCTCCCAAATCTTTTAATGAAGTCCCAGAAGGATCTAGATATATCCTTCCTCTGAGCAGCTCATAGGATAAAAGTTCTTATACTAAATCCTCTGGAAGAGGAAGTGCTGTACTGCTACAATCTGGAACTCTCCAATAAAGTCTATGCCTGGGCACATGTACTCCAAGACTCTAAGGAAAGGAAGAAACTGCTGCGAGTGAGGAAGCAAGTTGTCATGGCAGGTGGTCAGCAGGCTCACTAGAGCCAACTAGAAGCAGCAATCAGAGGCTGCTGAATGGCCTGGGAAATACTGGAAGTTTGGTTCTGGTTCCTCCCCCACACCTTCCCACACTTAGAGGGCAATGAGTTAGCTCACATTTATGAAACCAAATGACTGTTCTTTTTTTTTTTTCTAGTGCTGGGGATTGAACTCAGGACCTTGAGCTTGCCAAGCAGGTGCTTATGCCACTGAGCTAAATCCCCAGCAGAATGACTGTTCTTGAAGAAAGCTGGGGCAATACCACATCAGTCTCCAATGGAAACTCTCAGAAATACCAGTTCTCAAGTTCATCCTGGCCTTGCAAAAGCAGAGACTCCAGAGTAGCTGAGCAACCCAGGTTGGGCAAGTCCTACAAGGGCTCGTAGGAGCGAGCCATGGGTGAGACCAGTGTCCTTGAGTCAGTTAAAGTTATGTTAGTGTCCTTCCTCTCAGTCCTGACAACTGCACAGTGAAAAGTCTTTGTTCTTCCTAAAGAAATGTCATGGATCATCAGCTTAGGAGGAGTTCAGGGAGCTTTTGAGGTCTCTTATTCCTTTATACCTAAATTTACTACTCTACCTTCCCATTCATTTCTGATTTAAGAACCCCCATTATGGACATTAACAAAATAGGAGGAGGAGCATTCAGAAATAGACCAAATCTTCCCCAGGGCCCAGTGCATGCCAGGCAGCCTGCTCCCACTTAAACATTCCCTTCTGCATATTCCAGAATATTCCCAGTAATTCAAGAGACTGTGTGGATAAAGAAAACTGGCCAGACTCACCCTCCACACAGCTAAGCCACCATGAAAGCTGTCTCACAGCTCTCACTCGGAAGTATTTACAAGCAGGACTGAGCTAAAAGGCCACACAAACGCAACAATAATACTGTAGCTGAGACGAAGTTTCAACTTCAAATCACATGGTTTTAGATCACTAAAACTCAACTTTTTCTATAATAACATTCATACAAGTTCCCTCCCCTGAGTTAATATTTAAGCCTCTATAAAAGACACGTTTTTAAGTCTTGGTCAATGTACTCCATAGTTTTCTAACCCTAACAATTTTTCCATTAGAAAAAGGCCATTCATGCACAACGTTGCAGTGTATTCCCAATAGCTTTTCTTACTTCATTTCTAGTATTGTAGTTTAAATTTGGAAACCTGAAGATCTAAAAAACAATAGCAACCAAAAAGCACACCACAGGAGACTTGGAAACCGAATGTACAGCAGAAAGGACCTATCTGCACAAAGTACATGTTTACGTATATCCTATCACCATTGTGTGGTGCCACCCATACTAAAAGGAAAAAGAAAGACCAACCACCACCTACAGACCAGTAATCTTAGCCACCTGACATTCAAGAAACCAGTCCCGGTCTCCAGGGACAGCTCTTCTCATTGGAAAGTGGGCAGTGTTGAGTAACCAACATTATTTTGCTCTGATTGATTTGTAGGATCAAATCCTTGTTGCTGTTTTTCCAGCCTTAAATTTCCATCATTGTAAATCTAGCAACTTCCTTTGGTAGTAGCAATTAGCATCAGTCATAAGCAAAAAATGATGCCACATAAGAAATAAAATAAATTCAACTCTTCTTACCTTTCATGCCAAACTTGGAGTGTCTTGCCAACTTAAGCAGAAACAGCATCACCAGCAGGCAAAATCCCACTACAGAGGCTATCACCACCACAGCGTAGACCTAGGACAGGAAGAGAGCCCATGACAACCTTGTCAACCTACTGCCTATAATGATGACAATGATGTGATGGCCACTCAGATTTATGGGATACTTACCAGTTTCTCTTATAACAGCTTTAGCATGTCAATTCACTTACTCCTCAACAAAATTACAAATACATAGCTTCTAGGGTGAAATGCATAGGTCCTTTTAGTATATATTATTTACAAATGAGAAATTATAAAGTAAAAGATATATAAATTGATATGTAATTGAAGATCATATAAGTGTACTTCTATTTATAGCCACACTGACAGATCCATCCATCTATCCATCCATTCACCCATCCGCCCACATCTCTGGAAAAAAAGACTCATGTCACTCGAGGCAGGGATTGTCACTGTAGTTTGAGATCTTAGGCTAAGAAAGTGTCGTGTTGCAGGGGTTGGGTTGAGGGAAAAAGAATATGAAACACTATTGATGATTTTGAGACTGGTAAAGGTACAACAGGGTTCACTTTACTACTCTAGTTTTGCATAGGTTTGAAAATTGTCCAATAAAAAAAGGTATTTTTTAAAAATTAGAATTGTCACTCATAGCAATCAGGGTACCCTGTGACAAGAAGTCAGAGGAAGAAGGCACCTTGGGTGGAATTGCTTGTGAAACCTCCCATACACTTACAGTCCATACACTTCTCTATATGGATGAGGGGTTTTAAAATGTAAAAATCGCATTGCAAGTGCAGCTTAGACATGCACGTAGGGCAGATATGCAAATCCTGTCACAGTCCTGAAAGGGAGGGAACAAGGGTGAAAGTGGTAATTCAGCTGACACTACCACGCCACTCCAAGTGCACTGGGATGGAGAGGCTACCAGAAATACAGCCCAGCATTCTGGAGGCAGAGACATAAGCACCACAGTGTTTTGTGGTTTGGTTTGGTTTAGTTTGGTTTTGGGAGGTGCAGGGTATAGTTCATTTAATGAGCTGAAGAATGCTCAGTGTGTCCCCCATTACTATGGCTACAGTGGGCAGCTGGTGGTCTACACCAGATGCAGGCAGGGATCAGGAGCGCTCAACGTGGTGGTGGTCAATTGTGGAAGGAGTCCATGATTGGGTGTGGCTTACTGTCACCACCCCAATTCCATCTAATGCTGGCCACCCCCAGGTTTCTCTGATACAAAGATTAGTGCCTTAAAAATGATCAACCTGTCTTATCTGACAAGTACACATTGCCATCCATAGAATATTTTTCAAAGCTAAGTTGGTGTTTTCAAAAATACTTCGCCTTGACAAACTTTACCTCAATGCTGCTTGCTTCCGCAGAGCCAAATGATTTTCAAAGACTTGCTGGCCAGCTAACATTGCTTTACCCCACAATGATTAGAAGAGAACTTTCTAAATTGCAGAAAAGTGTTTTATCCAACTATTTATTCCCACTGAGCAGCAATTCAACTTAAGCCTAGTTGACAGGGCCCTCCTCGTCCTGGGAACCCACCACCAATGGACACCAATGCTGGGACCCAAGTCACAGCCGCTCCCAAGCCCATGAAGTACAAGGACTATAGCAACTTTGCACTATCCATCAAATCCAGCACCACACCTCAGCCTACACTGGGAAATTTAGGAGCTCTGGGAGTCACCCCACCTTCCAAGGCCGTCACCTTCCAGCCTCCCCCACCTCCAAGATCAACCAACTCCAGAGATGGCACCCCAGTGGAGAGCAGACGAGATCCGTACAATCACCAGCCACCTTTCCCTGGCCTGATCACTAACCTGGCTGTTCTGAGCTCAGGGCCTGGCCTGACACCCACTCCTCTTTCCTTTGGCTTCTGTTCCCCTCACCTGTTTGCCCCAGAGGCCCTTACACTTTCCCTTTTGTGTGCGTAACAATCTGGTTATTGTTCATCTTTGCTTTTTTACTCAATTACTGGGAAACAACTGCCATGTATGCATAGGTGGTGGTGTGCTAAGCTAGACTTCATGCAGATTTACTGCGTCCAGGGAAGAGGCTGGGACACAGTCACCTTAATGCCAGTCTGGAAATAACCTACAGGAGAATTCAGCCAACACACCCATGCTGGATAGACTTGCTATGCTTACTTGGTGGGCTTTAGTTGGAATATACTTCTGGGCCTCATCCTCATTCAGTTTTGCTTAGCCCAAGACCTTGCTGCCAAAGAAAAGCTCCAAGTCAGTGGTGAACTTCTGCAAATAGGGAATATTAAGGCTTGGCCAGCCTTCCAGTCTTTGTTGCAATTGCTCAGCCAGAGTAGCACAAAAGAAGCCATAGAACATATGGAAACAAGTGATGCAGCCACATTCTAGTAAAACCATATTTACAAACACACATGAGTGGCTGGATTTCAACATGGTTTCACAACTCCTGCTCTAAGCTGCCTCAGATACTCACACTGACTCAGACTCTTAAACTTCGTTGTTTCATTTAATCTACATGGTAATCCTTGAAGTTGATAGGATTAGGTCCTTCAGAGGCAATCATTAGCACTGTCTCCCTTGTATTTCAGCTTTTTCCCAGTGTGACGCTATAAAATGCATTTCCTGGCTCGCTTCTGATTAGACGGATTCATGTGACAAGTTGAGACCTGTGTCACTTCACTACTGGGTGTGGAACTGCAGTGCTAGTCTGAGAACTTTTAGGGAGTGGCTGTCAACCAGAAATAATGCTGCCACCTCAGATAAAGACATTTGGCACTACTGAGTTTCCACAGTTGGGACAAGGGCCGCTAGCACCCAATGGTTAGAAGCCAGCGGCTAGGACAGAGACCCCAAACAAAGTCACTCCTCCCCGAGTGTCAGGAGTGCCAAAGGTGAGAACCTGGCATGCCTACTCAGGCACTCCTTCCTCTGTGTCATAACAGACCCAAACTTTCTGTCCTAGAAGCAGAACAATGCTCAGCAGCGCTCTCAGCCAAAACATGTACTGCGTCCTACAGAAAACCTGCCTGGTTTTAAGCTGCTATGGCCTAGAGATTTCTGCATAGTTTATTCTGAGTGATACTCATTCCATAGTGAGAATTACTACATGCTGGAACATATTAAAAATATTGGCTTTTCCTGTGTATAAATTTTAGATTGACCATTTATTACATATAGCATTTCAGAATTACTTAAACCCTGAGTCTCACAATACTTATGTGTAAAATAGGAAGTATAATAATGCTCTACTTAGCGATTTGTTATAAATCTAAAATAAGTGACTGGAGACAATGGGCTTGGAATAATGTCTACTACCACAGACATACATTAATAGGAAAGATGCCAATATGAATTATGGTGATCAAAGTAAAATCTAGAGAAAACTAAATAAGAAGCCTGTCTCAGTTACTTTTCTATCATTTCTGGGACAAAATACCTGACAACCAAAATCAAGTAAAGGTTTATTCAACTCACAGTTAGTGGAGGTTTCGGCTACCTCCAAGACAGAGCAGCACATGGAGGAGGGTAACCTTTCATGACAGCCAAAAACAGAAAAAGAGCAAAGGGAGGGACAGCAGCTGAGGCAGCTAGCAGGCCTCTCTCCCCTCCCTACATTTGTATGCAGATTATCTGCCCCAGGGCGGGTGTAGCACTCACACCCATAATCCCAGAATTTGATCAAGAATTAATCACACACTTTAGAAGCTGTCCTATAATTGCATGAGGTTTTGGGAGCACAACTAGATGCAAACCATAACAAAGCCCAAGGCGCACCTCCCAACCCTGGAATCTGAACCAGCCTGTCTGGGTATAAAACATGATTTGCTCATTCAACTTCCTCACTGGATGTGTGGCTGCAAATGAAGGTGTCAAGGTAAAATCATGTGGCTGACCCTCCCACAAGGACACTAGATAATCCTGCCTGAACTCAGTGGATGCATAACCCCACCTGTTGACAGGATGGAGCTCTACTGCTGAAAAGCTGCTAAAGATTTTCAAATCACATTCAAACCTATTGAAGCCATTCTAAATTAAAGCATTTAAAGAAACAAAGGTTCATGTAAGAGTAAGAATCACTTTTTCAAAAACAGTGGTAAGTGCAGAGTTTCAGGTATTATGCATGCGTTGCAGGCAACGGAAGTTCTTATGTGAGAAGTTGCTGGGTTGGCTGCTCCTTTGGTTTTCACCTGAAAAAGGTCTTTCAGAACAGAATAGAAGAGATCTGTCCTATCATGCAAGTCCAATCAAGAGCCTGAAGAGCTCCTGGTGGGCCCTATGGCCAGCATTTAAAACTGTCTCTGAAATGCTCTGACAACCTCTGCTATGCCACTGTCACCTCCCTGGCTCTGGGACTCTTCTAATACAATGATCGGAGATTGTTTATATCACAGATACTGGGACCACTTCAAATTTTTAAATTGTACTTAAATTCTACAAAATATAGTCTTGCATCTCTGATACAGGATTCTAGGACCCCTTGGCAGAGTCATAATGTATAGGCTTTGAAGGATGTTTATTTTTACTGATCTTGCCTTTTGGCTCTATAAATACTTGAATGTCTTGAGATATGTCAGTCAGCGGCTTCCACCTATCATTGACATTAAAAGAGAAAAGACCAAAGTTAACCTAAATTTCCAGCAATTGGAATGTATGCACATCAGTGACTCAGCTCCTGCAGCTCAGGTTTCTTATGTACACAATGTTTTCAAAGCATGAATTATAAAATCATAGAGATTGACTTACTACAGCATCTTGGTATTCCTGTGTCATCCACATGGTTATCTGTGGAAGTTTACAGTGTGTGTGTGTGTGTGTGTGTGTGTGTGTGTGTGTGTGTGTGTAGATGCCTATACTGGATATGTACATTTCAAAGTGCAACTGCGATGCATTTGTTTATGAACTTCCCATTCCAACGTTATGGTCTTAGTTCACGAATATAGCACATTGTTTATTATTGTTCCCAACACCTCAGTAATTACCCCCCTTCTACTTTCTCTATTCTACAACTTGTCCTATAACATTCACTATAAGTCTAGCCAGTCTGCAAGACTTACTGAATGCCAATGTCTGGCAGTATTTTCAAGGGAACAAACACACACACACACACACACACACACACATATATATATATATATATATATATATATATATAACACTGACCAGAGAGCCTCTACAATATCTCCCCTTTACCTGAAACAGAGACATTTTAAGACCTCCAGAAGATTCCTGGACCCACAGACAGAACCAACTTCTATATATACTGTTTTTTCCTATAATATACACCTATGATGAAATTTAATTTAACATTAGGCATAATAATAGATTAACAACAATATAAAATAGAGCAATTGGTGTGATATACCCAAATAAAAGCTCATGCTTTAGGGCCCTTATTAACTAAAATATGGTTTACCTGAGCACAAGACTTTTGATGTAAGAACAGTGGGTCTGATTATGGAGATGGCTGCTAAGTAAATATGGGTGGGCCGCTTACACAGCGGGGGTACTCAGGACGAAGGAGTGGTTTACAGCTCAGGTGGGACAGAGAAATTGTGCAATATTTCATCACATTATAGTGCATAATTTAAAATCCATGAGTTGTTCATTTCTGAAATTTTCCATGTTTTTAGTTTCATATTGAACTCAAGTAACTGAAATTAAGAAAATTGTAGGTACAGATTAGGGAGAAGTATTGTACTAAGACTCTTATGAGGGAATCTTGAGAAGGGAAGAATATATTGAACAAGTAAAGAAATAAATAAGGTGATTCCAGAGAGTAGCTACTCGGAAGAAAATGAAAGGGGGTAATAGCTACCAGCCACCTAGACTAAATGACTTTCTTTTTTGGTTAGGTTTTTAAAAATTGTTTATTTATTTATTCATTCCTTCCTTCATTCATTCATTTATTTGGTGTGGGGTCTCACTACGCAGCTCAGAGTCATAGTGATTCTCCTGCTGAATGACCTTCTTAAACTCCAAGCTGGCTGGAAGCTAAAGCCATGTGTTCCTCTGTGGAGTGAGTCTGAAGTATTCAAGGGAGTATTCAAAAGATCAGATGACAAAAAATTGCAAAGCATAGGGGAAGATGTCAGAAAGGAGCAAGGACAACAAGATCATAGAGAACTTCATGAACTATCATGAAGAATTTACCTCTTAGAAGAGAAGTGTAATGGCTGATACGCTGTGTCACCTTGAGAAGGATAGAAACTTAACTAAGTAACTCAGAGGTTCTCCATCCTGGGGTGTAGAGAACATGCCCTTATGGCTCTAAGATGTTGGTCACTGTGTCAACTTGAGCAGTTTAGTTTAACTAAGTGATTCAACAGGAGGAAAGGATCCTTAATTTGTAAACATCCTCAGCCTGCGCAAGAGGAGGATCCTGAGATGGTGTGGGTGCAGAGGTCCCCGTCTCCACACCCAGGGTGGGTAACCTGCATACAACAAAAGGACAATGAGGAAGGTCTCATTGCTGGTTCTTTGGAGGAACTCGAGTCTTCACCTTCAGTTTGGATGTCATCTCCTGCTTCTAGTACAGACTACCCAGCTTCCACCTGGAGCCTTCCAGCATAGATCCATTTGATGTTTGTTTGTTTGTTGTGGGTATTTTTGGTACTGGAAATCAAACTCAGGATCCTGAGCTTGCCAGGCAAGCACTTGTACCACTGAACTATATCCCCAGCCCTCCAGCACACATTCTTCTTCCACCTTCCATCTCATACCTATCGGCCTCTTGCTGTGGGCTTGTACAGAACACTGAAGTGAGCTCCTGAACCCTTCAGCCTCCAGTGTGCAGACAGACGCCCTCTGAATGATTCCTCACCCAACTCTGTATCTGACCATTGTAAACCAATCTTGTAATTACTTATACATTTGTATATTTTGTATTATATCTGTTTCTCAGGTAAACTGTGACTCATATAAGAAGTTTCGCTACAACTGTATTAGGAAGAGTGGGAATTATAAGGAAAAAGCAATCTGAGATAAAAAATCTGTTGTCTGTAAATACACAGTTTGGGAACCTCCCGAGGGATTAGTCAAATCTGGGTAGTCTGGGTGGGTCATGGAGACATAATCTTGGTGTTTGCATCTGATTCCCGGCTCTTCCCTCTCTAGCACTATTCCTGGGCTCTCTTCTCCAGCTACCATGAGGTGGGCAGCCTTCTGCCAAGCCCCTCCACCATGATGCTTCTGCTTTGTGGTCAGCCAACCATGGACTAAACCTTTGGAAACCATAAACCAAACAAACCACTTCCTCCACTAAGCTATAACTGACAAGAATTCAGTGCCAGCAGTAGGAAAGTTGGTTAATAAAATGCAGTATGCTAAGTAAAATGAGCTAGGTTCAGAAGATAAATACTGTATGATGTCTCATATCTGTGGGACACAAAACAGCTGAGATTTCATAGAAGCAGAAGGTGTAACGGTGGTTGGCAAAGGTTGGGATGTGGATGGTGTCCTGGGTAAGAGGAGGTCATGGTCAAGAGGTATAAAATTATAGATAGGTTGGAAGAAGAAGCTCTGGCATCTGGTTGCACAGCAACCAAAAAATATGCTATAATTAATAACAGCATGTTATATTTTTGAAATAGCTAAAGGAGGAACTTTAAATGTTCTCATCAAGCAAAATAAAAAATATTTGAAATGTTAATTACTGTGGTTTGATTATCATACAATACATGGAAATATGAAAATAGGCTAGGGAGATAGCTCAGTGGCTTAACTACTCGCCTGGCAAGCACAAGGTTGTGAGTTTAATCCCTGGTACCAGAAAATAAAATAAAATGAATAAAAATAATAAAGAAAATACAAAAACACACTTTTAAAAAAATAGCTGGGTGTGGTGATACACATCTGTAATCCCGGCACTCAGGAGGCTGAGGCAAGAGGAGATCAGCTTGGGCTACAAAGTGAGCTCAAGGCCAGTCTGGACTGCATAGCCAAACCCTGTCTCAAAAAGACAAAAAAAAGGAAATAGTACACTGTACCCCAGAACTGTATAATTATTATTTGTCAATTAAAAAAAAAATAAAACCAGGGCCAGCAATATAGCTCAGTGAACTAAGCTCTTGCTTAGCTAAGTGCAGGGGCCAGAGTTCAATCCCTGGCACCACATACTGTACTGGTTCCATCCCCAGCATACTGAGCCAGCAATGGAGTCCGGTGTGGTGGCACACTCCTGTAATCCAGGCACTAGGGAGGCACAAATTAGGAGGATCACTGTGGTTCTGAGCTGCGTAGTGAGACCCTGCACCAAAAA